GACCTTTATGTATCCATTTACGTGATGGCCAGAGGAATGCATATAAAGCACTTAACACTGCGGGGCACTTAGTGCACATTAAATGTGCACTATCATCATTACTCCACACATGGCATTAAATAATATTGCTTATAATTCAATTCCATAAACTTATTGCCTACCACTGGTCCAATAGAAATACAGTGGGAGTCACGCATGTAATTTTAAATTTTTCATAGCTGCATTAAGAAGCAAACACAAAGTGAAACAAAAAACAAGTGACATTAATTTTAATAATATATTTAACCCAGTGTATCCAAAATATTATTATTTCAACATGTAATTAATGTAAAAAATTTAGTGAGGTAGTTTATTCTTCTTTTCATGCTAAGTCATCAAAACCAGTGTGTATTGTACACTTACAGCCCATCTTAATTTGGACTCATCACATGTGACTCGTTGCATCTGTGTTGGACAGCACAGCTCTAAGACTTCCAGAAGCTTATGGTCTAATGACAGGAACTTATTGAATATTTTCTTTGACTTGAAATGCCATGAAAAACCAAACTTGGTTGTCCACTAGGGGCATTAAAATAAGTTGAAGAATTCTCTAATTAGAGGTTGGAATGCTCGATAAGATGTGGTACACATCGTGATAAAACAAAACGTCTGGTAAGAATTTTACCTGGACAGCCTCAGTGTTTGTTATTATACTCATCAAAAAAGGAAAACCTGCCACTATTTTTGCCACCTTTTTCTCTTGACACTTTTACCTATGGCTTTGAAATAGAAACCATGTATAAATTAGAAAACATAGTATTTTGTCTATTCAGTCTCATGGAGAAATGAGAACATGTCATACAAAGAGGTCGTCTTGTGATAATACTTTTGAAGTTCACATCCTAAAAAATGTGTGTTTGTTTCTTAAACCTTGTGCGAAAAGCATATATCAGACATAAAAATGTCTCCTTTCTTAACAGGTGAAAAACAAAGCCCCGGCTGAAGTACAGATAACTGCAGAACAACTCTTAAGAGAAGCTAAAGAAAGAGAACTTGAGCTGCTTCCACCTCCACCTCAGCAGAAGATCACAGATGAAGAAGAATTAAATGATTACAAACTAAGGAAAAGGAAGGTCAGTAGGGGTGATATATTTCAGTCTATTAATTGTTAAGAATTTATAGATTAAAGTTTGAAAAGTCTCTCATTGGTTAGAGTCTACAAGGCAAGATGAGGTTAGTGTTTCTAGGCACATAAATAATATAACTTCTAGTTACCAGATAATTGCATTTTGCTGAACTGTATAAAACTTGCATGAGTTGTCTGTTTAAAGTATAAAGAAGTCAAATCTACCAGAGACATAATTTTGGGGGCTGAATCAAAATGGGTAGAAGTTTAACAAGTGGAACAACTGGGACTGGAAGAGGGGTTGAAACTTAGCAGGGCTGCACTGTGTTCTTTCGTCTGTGTCACCTTCTGTGCGAAGCATTGTGACCTGGGAAAGAATCTTGAGAAGACTTTGGGATCTGATTTGACCTCCTCACTCTAGAATGTGGGATTATTGTAAACCACTAATCCTGTCATATGTCCTGATTTGTTATTCTCAATGAGTATGTATGAAGTTCTGAGAATTACCGAGAGGACTTGTAGGTAACATTCACGAATATTTTTTTATTAGGAAAGAGTATAGAATATATTAAAGTGTCAGTTCATTGTCCTGGGCAACAAAAGAAAATATCAATAATTCTGCTAATAATTTTTTATATCTAAATTTTCTCTTTGTTTATATTTAAGATTTTAAAGAAACACCTGTGATTGTAACCTTCTGTGTAATGAGTTTCTTATTCCTCAAGGATATCAGGATGTAATTTCTCTTAAGAACCTTTTTAGGACAAGGCTTATGATAGGCAAAGGATGATGCCATTTTTAGTCATTTTCCCTTTAATTTGATCCTTTTTGCCTTCTTCCAGACTTTTGAAGATAACATAAGAAAAAACAGGACTGTGATTAGTAACTGGATAAAATACGCGCAATGGGAAGAAAGTCTGAAGGAGATTCAAAGGTAAGATTACTGAGAGTGTAATTTCATATATAAAGATGTCATAAGTTAATACATAGAAAAAATAGAAAAAGTTAAAGCACAAGTAAAAAGCGTGCCTCTGGTAGTAATTTTCACCTTTTGTTCCATGGAACCCTAGGGTTCCTTTGAGGGGCCTCAGGGGCACTGTGGTAGGGTAGTCATGGGGAGAGTGGGGGAAGAGGCTCTGTAAGTGGGTCTTGCCACCAGCAAACACTCCATAGCCAGAGAAGCAGTTTCATCTGCTTTCTGTATGTTGAGATTTTTAAAATAAAGTGTTCAGCAGAAAACCAATGGCCAACAAAAAAATAATGACCTGGCCCTTCCTGTTATCCAGCCTTTCTGCATTCTCCCCTCATACCCCCTGCCCTCACTGTGCCTGTGTACTTGTCACTCCCAGAACACATCATGTCCCCTTACTGTGACACTGGGCTCTTCTCTCTGCCTGGAATGAGCATGGCTCCCCACCAGCCTTGGCCTTCTCGTAAACTGGGACTTCACAAGTTCTCAATTCTGAAGTTCCTTACCTCACCAGTCATTTTCATTGCTTCCACTCTGTTACCTGTGCAGAACCTGGTTCATGCTAGACTTTAAATAAAATAGCAAGACATGGCAGTTAGTTGAAATAACTGCTATGTACATTGTACATACTACTTTTGATGACCTCCAAATCTTGCTTCTGAAGGGCTCGATCCATATACGAGCGTGCTTTAGATGTAGACTATCGAAATATTACACTCTGGCTGAAATATGCGGAAATGGAAATGAAGAATCGCCAGGTCAACCATGCCCGAAATATCTGGGACAGGGCCATAACAACTCTGCCGCGAGTCAACCAGTTCTGGTAAGTTTTTGATCTAACAAAACAGACTTTTGTAGCCTGAAAATTCCACATTTTTGTGTATTTTATTTACATAGATATAATCATTGGACATATTTAATTTTACATTCTACTTTTTCTTTAAACAA